GCCCCCACCTCTGGTCTCTGGAAATCAATGGTTTGTTTTGGGCTGTAAATACACTGTATTAGTTTGCCAGGACTGTCAGAGCAAAATACCATAGATGGCGTGGCTCAGAAAGAAATGTATTCCTCGAGGTTTGGGAGGCTAGGAGACAAAAATCTAGGGGTTGACATGTTTGGTTTCTTTCTTCTGAGGCCTCTGCCCTTGGCCTGCAGTCAGCCACCTTCATCTTGTGTCTGCACACGGTCCCCCTCTGTGCATTGTCTGTGTCCTTCCTAATCTCTCTTCTCATAAGGACACTAGTCAGATGGGATTAGGGCCCACCCTCAGGACCTCTTTTTAACTTAATCACCTCTTTAAAGACATTATCTCCAAACTACTCACATTCTGAAGTCCTGGGGATTAGGACTTCAACACGTGAATCTGGGAGAGATACAATTCAGCCCATAAGCATACATTGTTCCCTAGATAGACCCAGAGTCCATTCTCTTCCACACTTCTCTTTGACAAGCGATAACAGAACTAACATTATGCTTATCAACTTATAGGCTGCTTTTATTCTATTGAGAGAGAAAGACTCCAAACACCTTTGATAAAGGTCTGCTTTGTTCTCCAAAACACAAGAGGCAGTTCAGTTGAGATGGAGTGAAAAGTCTTCTTCAGGAGAAGCAAACAGAAGTGTAGTATGGAGAAGTGAAAGAAAAAAGGAACCCGAGTCATAGATACCACATCCACAGTAGGGGTCAGCCATAGAGTGTTGAAGGTGGGTGAGGGCATGCTTTGGAGGTATCCGAAAAGCAGTACAGGTGCCTTTTACCTAAAGGCTCGGGAACAATCTTTTCCTCATCAACTTCTTATGAGGCCGTTAAATCCAGTTGTGGATGGTTTTTTAAAAAAGACATGGAGACCTTGGGGAACAGTTCTAGTCACATTTTTCTCTGATTACAAACGCTTGTTGTATATAGGAGAATGAAGAATAAGGAAAATATAGAAGAATAAAGAAGAAAATAAAGAATAACACTTGAAACTAATGTAACATCATGTGTCAACTCTACTTCAGTAAAAAAAATAAAGGATAAAAATGAGAAAAGTTTTTAAAATCCTGTCAATCTTTGATTGGTTGGAGATCACCATTCTACAACACTTTTCAATTTAGTTTTCAAATACAGGATCATCCCACATATACTGCTCTTAGAATCCATGTTTCCCTTCATTATATCATGACCAATATTTGTCCGGATTTAAAAAAAATTTTTTTAGATGTTTATTTAATTTCGAGAGAGAGGGAGAGACAGAGTGCGAGCAGGGGAGGGGTAGAGAGAGAAGGAGACACAAAATCTGAAGCAGGCTCCAGGCTCTGAGCTGTCAGCACAGAGCCCGATGCGGGGCTCAAACCCACAAACCACGAGATCATGACCTGAGCCGAAGTCGGACACTTAACTGACTAAGCCATCCAGGTGCCCCTGTCTGGATTATTTTTAAAAATCTTGTTATTAATAACTGAAAAGAATTCCATCACATAGATGTGGCTGAATTTGTTATATATAATTTGTTTATGTGGGTTAATTTATTAATTAAATTAATAATTAATTAACTAATTGATCTATTAAAGGAGTGGAAATAATACCAAACATGATACTAGTAATTAATAGAATTTTTTACTGTAATTTTGAAGTACAGACAACACAAATCCCCTTCCCATGTGAAAACCAGCTCTGACCACACCCCTGCCCTCCTCTTTTGTGCTACTTAACATCAAGCCTGGGTGAGACCCATTTGTAGGACTAGGAAAACTGGTCTGGATCACTAAGAAGTGAGGTGAGCTCTGGATTATACGGCGTAATTTGAGGGGAGCCACATGCATCTCTTCTAGCTTGATCCCAACAGATGCAATACTTCCACCAACAGATTCATTCCTAAAGGTCAGTGAAAGAGGGTCCTGTCTCTTAAGAAATGTAAATACCCTTGGTAAGGGCAGGGCATGTATGTAAAATCACTGTTAGCCTTGACTCTTCAGAATTTCCACGTCTGAGAACTTTCTTCTCAGGTCCCCTCCCCTAGAGGGACCATGACGGCTTAGGACATGGGATTCCTGAAGACACAGAACTCTCTAGCCTATAAGGGTGTGGACCAGGAGGCTGAGGTCCTGAAGGCACACTATTCCAGCCTGGATCATTTAGAGTCATGGATGGTTAAGATTTGGAGGGAAGAGGCCAGTCTGATCTCTGAATTTCCTCTCAGCAATCTGGGTTGGATGTGATACCCCAAGGATGCTTTATTGTTTCCATTCTGGACTCTGTCCTGTCTTCCTCTAAAGCCTCTGAATCTTGTCTGGACTCAGCTCCCAACAAACCTATTTCTCCTTGTGTGTGAATTCTTATCTCGGCGAATGGCACCACCAATTGTTCAGCTGACAAAGCTTAGTGATTCGGATTTCCTCTCTCACCCTCACAGCCAGCCTAGTTACCAATTCTTGTTGATTTTGCCTCTGGGCTGTTTCTGAGACCCTTTCTCTCATCCTTAAACTCAGGAGCCCACCAGTTTTCCTAAACAGCCCGTGTGTACATGCTCCTATACCTTTGTGGGACTTCCACTCTTCAGTTGGTATGTTCTCGTTGACCCTTTAAGAGTTGGAGCAAATGTCACGCCTCTAACTTGGAATTCATTATTCCTTCCCTTGGGTTCCCATTGAGCCCTGTATGATTGTCTTCTCACCTGGACTGTGAACGTCCTTAGGGCAGGGACCTATATCTGTACTTAGCATGGTGCTCAAAGTCAGCAGACACTCAACAAACTTATTCCATTAGATAGCCAGTGTTTACAGTTTGTACTTCCTTTGGTGCCTATATGCTGTCTTGTATGGCAGTCTTTTCAAACATATGAGGTGTGACCAAGTCGTGATATGACTCATTACTTAATAAGCATACCAGAATTTATGTAACCAAATGAGAGCTGCTTCCTTCAAAGTCTTCATCTTATGAGACTGGATACTTGGTCCTGCCATGCTTTCATTGCTCAAAACATCTCTGGAACACTTCTCTTGGAAACAACTTTGGCATTTGTAGCACTTTCTTTTCAATCTCTCCTGTGGTAGCTTTTTTTGTTTGTTTGTTTCCATTTACTCAACATTTATTATGTGCTTATCTGTCCCAGGAACCAAGCTGGTGCTGGGTGAAAGATAAGATAAATCAGACATTCATTCTGTCTTCAAAGAAGTTTCTGTTTGGTAAGGGAGATAAGATCTGGACAAACAGTGCAATACAAGCTTAAGTGATAGTGTTCCCCAGAGATTGGATCTGATTTTTGGAAAACCAAAAGTCCTTTGGTTTCAACCAACAAGGTGAATGACAGAGGAATGTGATAACAAACTGCCTTAAACCAATGTGTTCTGAACGCTTCCAAACCGGAGCCCGATGCGTTTCCAGCACCCCTCTCCCCAAGAAGAGACGAAATTATCTGGCATGTCTGTTCCAAACCCAGACTCCCACTTTGTGGCAATGCTCTTCTACATATGGAGTCTTCTTAGCTAAATTATAAGCTCTCTGAGGGCGGGTGCTGAGGTCTTATTTTCATGTTTGTTTTCACAGCATCTGGTGGACACATAACGTATGTTGGATAAAGATTCATTCAGTTACTGAGCCCAAAAGGTGTCTCCCTGTGCCGCACGGACTTCACATCGAGTATCCTCTCCCCATGTGCTTTGCTCTTGGTAGTGACAGATCCGCCAGGGACACACGACAACGACCGAAAGGACCAGTGCCAGGGAGGGCGCGCGTAGGGGCACTGGCGGCGGATCTGGGACTACAGCCCGGGAGTTCCTGCTTCCTGGTTCCCCGGAGCGAGTGTCCTTTGGTGGGAGCCGCGGGGAAGGGAGCAGCCCTTCCTGCGCGTCGGGCGCCCGCCCCTTCTCCGGCCTTCCAGGGACTTGTGCCGAGAGGCGCCAGCCGGCAACCGGGGACGCCGAGGGCGGCGAGGCCACCCACAGGACCCCCCACGCGGGTTACGGAAGGTTTTCAGCTCCTGGGCAACGCAGCTGGAGACTCGGCCAGGAGAGGCAGGAACCGGGAGGCTCGGGGAGGAGGAACAGAGTCGCGGCCGAGAGAGCGAAGGGAAAGTCCGGGTGCGGGGGAGCGGCGGAGGCCGGGTCCCAGCCGAGGGGTCCGCGCGGCCGCAGCCCGGCCGGGCCCGCCGCGCGCGCCCCTCCCCGCCTCCGCCGGCCCCGCCCCCGCCGGGCCGCCCCCTCCCCCCCGCCGCGCGGTCTCCTCCCCGAGGGGCCGGGGGCAGGGCCGCCCCTCCCTCCGGGTCCCTCCCTCCCTCAGCTGCGCGCATCTCATACCAGCCCTCATTCCGCACATTCCAGGCTTCCTCCTTTCAAACTCCAGGCCAGGGGGCGGGCAGGGCCCGAGCTCCCGGCTCCCGCCGCCCGCGGCCGCGTCCCCCAGGTGAGTGGCGCCCGCCCCGCCGCCGCCGCGCCGCGCGCCCCCAGCCCCCCTGCCCCGCCGGCCCCCTAGGCTGCGTGCGCCGCCGCTCTTTTTTCTCCCCCCCTCGCCCTTCCCGCCCCGGACCTCCTGGCCCGGCCCGCGCCCCCGCTGCCCTCCCTTCCGCCGCCGGCCCCCGAGCTCCCTTCCTCTCGCCCGTTGACTCACTCCTCCAGGAATAGGGAGCTCCCGTGCTTTCCCGTCAGTCCCATTCTGGGAAAACTCCTCCCTCGGCGCGCTCTGCTCCGCTCGGCTCCGCTCGGCTCGGCGCGCCAGCCCCGCGGCGGCGGCGAAGCGGGTGCGGGCCGGCGCGGCGTGGGCTCCGGCCGCCGCCCGCCCTCCTCCCCGCCCGGCCGGTGGCCCGGGCCGCCCCGGGGCCGCGCGCGCTGACCCCTGTCGTCCCGCAGCGCCGTCGCCGCCCCCGGGACCTCGGCGGAGGAGTTGGCGCGCGCGGCGGACCCCGCGGAGCCGGCTCAGCGCCTCCGCCCCCCCACCCGCGTCCCCGCACCCTGGGACCGGTAAGGCTGCGGCGCGGCGCGGGGACTCCAGGACCTCGCCCGAGGGCCGGCGTGGTGCGGGGCGTGAGGAGCTCTCCCGGCACGTGGAGGCGGCGCGGACCTCGGGCCTGGCCGGGGGTGGATGCGCGGGGCTCGCGGGAAGGGGGTCCCGGAAGCCGAAAGGCCCAGCAGCAGAGCCGAGAGCAGCGGCGGTCGGAGAGACCCAGCACCCATGCCTCTTTTCTGCCGGGCCCTTTTCCGACTCGGAAGAGCGAGCCCTGGAGGTAGTGTATTGGCCGGTTTCAACGCTGAGGCTTTCCGAAAGTGTAGAGCCTTCCGCGGGGTCCCCAGCTCCCCGCGACTTGAGAAGCCTGTTGTATTCCGTGGTGGGGACTAGCTCCAGGCAGGGAGGAGAACTCGCAGACCCGAAGCGCACGTCTGCCAGGGACACAGCCTCCGTGCACACGTGTGTAGAGGGGATTCCGGGCACACATGGTGGCTGTCTGACGATTTCGTGTGGCCGCCTCACTATCCCGTCTCCCCGGGTTTGGGTGTAGGTGAGGGTGATATCTGTTCACATGTGACTGACCTGGGCTGCCAGTAGGCGTATTTGTTTGTGTTGAACGTGAGTGCATTTCCACTCGGGAGCCGTGCTGCCTCTCTGGAAGTCTGAGTGTCTCTGAGCCCTTGTGCGATGCCACGTCTCCGCCTGTGCATTTCTCTGCGAAGATGTTGGTTCTGGGCCTGACTGTTCTTCCTGTCCGCATGGCCGTGGGCAAGAGAGCTGGTCTCTGGTGAGGTGTGTAGGGATAATTTGACCGTGGTGCTTGGGAGCGCGGTGCGCGGGCTGCGTGCGCCCTGGAACGGGCAGAGCTGGAAGGAAGATGTGCACACCTGCCTCTTCCAGGCCGCTGGCTCTCTGAGGGAAAGGGGGTCTGTTCTTGCCTGAAACAGTTCAGAGAGCAAGCTGGTAGAAGGCTAGAGGGAGTGACATCTTTGTCTTTCCCTGACGGGACAGGCACGTCCTGGGGATGTTCGTGGGGGCGGATCCCCCACCCCCAGGTAGAGGAAACCTTTTTGAATCTTGAGAGGTGTGTAGCCCTGCTTGTGCTTTTCAAGTTGGCCCAAGGACAAAGAAGAGTGGATGCATACCAGCCTAAACTACTTTCTGCTGGTCCAGCTCTCCCTGGAGCTCCCCAGCAGTCAGATGGAAGAACCCTAATTCTTTACAACTTGCCGGACCACCCTGCGCTTTGCTGTGGGCAGGGAAAGGGGTAACTGGATGCAGGCTTTGGTGCCAGTCTGGGAGGGAGGCGCTGCCTCTGACTTGCTAGTTGACCTGTGGGAAGACCCTTCTGGGTGTCTCAGTTTCCTTACCCCTCCCTTTCTGCTTTGTTCCCCCCCCCCCCCCCAGTTGGAGTTTTCCCATTTGAAATATCTTAGAGGCGGGAGCTGGGTGGGGAGGGAGCCACAGATGTCCAGGAGACTGGCGGAAGTGACATAGCATGTGATGGTGTGGGGAGGGGGACACAGGCAGACCTGGGATCAGAGTTCTTTCCTCCTTCCTACAACAGGGCGATGGGGGCATAATGTTGAGGACGACTTGGAAGGCAGGAACAAGATCCTCTTGGAGGGGTGGGGGGTGGTCGCTGCTCCTCCATGCACCCTGAGGATGCATATGTCCTGGTGGGGGCCACCTCACCCTCTCACTTGACCAGGTGTGTGATTGGGGTCTAAAGGTAGCCTTGATGGAATGGTTAAGGTACAGAGTTGGGGCCGGATATACCTGGGGCAAATCCTGACAGTCACTTACAGCTCTTAAGGCCCTTCGGCTTAGTTTCCTGATGAGTAATCTGGGAGGAGGGGGTGGTTAATTTAGTATCCATCCAGAACGTTTGTTGTGAAAATTCATTGTTTGCTAAGTATCTAGCACAGTGCATGGCACATTCCAGACTCGGCGGCGAGTGTTTCCTAAGCTTATTTCAACATGGAACCTCTTTTTTTTCCTAAGGACTTCTCTGAATACCCTTTGACAAACCCTGCCCTGTTCATTTGTGTTTACTTAGCAAACATGAACTGAGCATTTACCATAGGCCGGGCCCTGCGTGATGTTCGTCATCCTTAGGAACCAAGGTAGCTAGTGGCCCAGGTGGAGGTGGGGGGCAGGGCTTTGTCACGGGACCACAGGGTCTCCCAACACCTTTGTCCCCCCCTTTTTTTTTTTAATTTTTAATCTTTATTTTTGAGAGAGAGAGAGAGAGACAAAGTGTGAGCCGGGGAGGGGCAGAGAGAGGGAGATACAGATTCTGAAGCAGGCTCCAAGCTCTGGGCTGTCAGCACAGAGCTTGATGCGGGGCTTGAACTCAGAACTGCGAGATCATGACCTGAGCCGAAGTCAGATGCTTAACCAACTGAGCCACCCAGGTGCCCCTCCACCACCTTTGTTCTAATTCCAGTTTCGCCTTGACCTCAGGGTGAATCTGCTGAACATTATTGGACACTCTGACCTTAGCCTCTAACTCCCTCATTTTAAAGATGGGGAAACCGAGGCCCCTAGTGGGACAGTAAAGTGCTTAAGATTGCACAACCAGTGAGTCACAGAGCTGGGACTTGAGTCCGTTCTGTTTCCACTGTGCGTTCTGTCTCCTACTCTATGGATCGCAATGCTCAGACCCCCCCTGGCCACCTTCCTATAACAGGTGTGGAGGCTGGAGCTCTGGCTTGGCAATCTCTCCCATCCTGTGGCTCAGACAGGAGACAGAAATTCTCCCCTCCTTCCGAGCAGAAAGCACAGAACTGTGGAATCTGAGAATGCCAACTGTGGAAGGGGTCCTCAAGGGCTTTTTAATGCACCCTCCTTTTCCCTCTCTGGTCCGTACATTACTTAGCCAGGTAGAGAAGTGTCCCCTTATCGTTTCCAATCTCCTGGGATGCAAGTGTCGCAACCTCCCTCCCTCGGCCTCCATTCTGGAGTCTTCTACTGGTGACTGTCACAGAGCAATACCTGTTGCCTAATCTGTGGCTCCTCTCCTCCTTCTGGGTGGAAGTGGAGGACACGGGTCACCAGCTTTGCTCCATTGCCTCTCCTGTGGTGGAGGTCAGTCTGGGGGCAGTGGGAACTTAAGGGCTTGTGAGCGTGGCTTTACCATGCCTGTTCTCGCTTTGCCCCCCATGACCCTTCGTTGGCAGGGGTTGGGAGGACAGCTCCCTTTAAAGCTCTGAAATTGGAGCTGAACAGCTGCTCTCCTGCCCCGCGCCCCCCCTCCCCCCCCCGTTCCCCCAGGGGTTTAACCAGTTCAGGGGCCCAGGTGGAGGTGGGGGCAGGGCTTTGTCACTGGGCAGCACTGTCTCCAACTCTAGAGCTTTGCCCGACCTCTTCTGAAACGACAATTCTCCTGCTTCTGGTTTTCCATTTAGCTATTAGGGAGATTCAGGTCACCTCCTGGGTGACAGGGTCCTGGAGCCTTCAGCTGCTAGCGACTGGATCTTTGGGAACATTTCCGGTGGAACTTCAGTCCCTAAGATAGGTGCCGTGGCCTGTCTGTAATACAGGCCCCTGGAAAGGCCGGAGAATGGGCCCTGTACAGCTCCCTGTAGCGGGGGCTGGCTCCCTCGAGGTGCTGAGGGTAGGCGGGCCCCCTTGGGTGGGGACCTGGCTTCCTTTGACCCAAACTTCATGGGAACAATAGACTTCAGAGGAGTCACCAGGGGCAGGAAGTAGCTGTGCTAAGGCAGGGTGACCCTCCTGCAGGATGGGGTTGCATATCCGGCCGAAAGGAAGGGCAGGGTGTTGGGGGCAGTGCAGAGGGCACTGGGCAGGGCCGATGACACATAGGGTGGGCCTCTCCTTCCAAGGGGGCCCTTGACTCGGTGAAACCTGAGCTGCTCAGAGCCCACTATTTGATGGCGCGCCTGCTTTGTGTCTTACCAGCAAAGGTATCGTGGTGTCTGCCGGCTTTAGCTCATGCCACGCCGGCCCCTCCAGACCATGAATCCCCCTTCCCTTCAAGCCCTTGAGAGGTCTGCGCGAATTGTCCTGGCTCCAATAAAAGGCTAGTTTTGTTTCTTCCTGGCTGGTCTCCATCTTGGCTTTGGGCCTCGAGTAATAGTTGATGAAGGAGGCAATTTGTTCAGTAGGCAGAGCTCCGGGTGGGGAGGCAACAGGCCTGGGTCAGCTGGACAACAGAGAGGGATTTTTTTTTTTTTAGCCGTTTTCAGAGCAAGAGGACAACCAGGGCAGGCATGGGGGGGGGGGGGTGCCTGCTGGAAGCAGGTGGTGGAATGTTCTTGGAGGCAGAACACACTTACCTTGCCTTTATCTCTGTAAAGGAAGAACAGATTGGGCAAGAGGGCTGAGGCAGGCTTTGGGAGAAGTGAGAGGCTGCACTGAGTTACCTTTTGTGAGTTCAGGTGGCCAGCTTCTTAGAGATCAGGTTTTGGGGTCCTGATAGCAGCTTGCGAGAGTGACCACAGAATCACTCTGCGATCTGGGAGGAGCCCTGACAAATGGGAGCGGGGAGATAAGGGTAGCCACATAATAAATGCTGTCCTGTTTTATTTCTTTTTTCTTTTTAATGCTTTATTTATTTCTGAGAGAGAGACAGCGTGAGCAGGGGAGGGTCAGAGAGAGAGGGAGACATAGAATCTGAAACAGGCTCCAGGCTCTGAGCTGGCTGTCAGCACAGAACCTGATGCGGGGCTTGAACCCACGAACCGTGAGATCATGACCTGAGTCAAAGTCGGACGCTTAACTGACTGAGCCACCCAGGCTCCCTGTTCTGTTAAAATTACTACATACTCATTGTATAAAACTTTTATAAATTAAACAGGAAACAATTGTACATGATGCCAGAACTCAGTGGTGAGCACAGTTAATATTTTGGCATATATACCTCCAAATTTGTGTTTATGCAAATAAATCTGTGTATTTTAACATAATTGCAATTGTATTCTAGCTTGATTTTTTTTCCCTACTGAATATTATATAGTGAGTAATGTTCCCTATCATAAAAAATAATTTAAAGCCATAGTTGTAAGGATCTGGATAATATTACCTCATAAGAATATACCTTAATTTTTTTAACTATACACTCCTTAATATTTTAAAAAATTGTGTTCAATTTTTGGTCATTAAAATCACTTGACATTGAGTGATGCTAAATACATATACTTATCTCAAAATGAACTCTAATAGATATGAATGTAAAATCCTGCATTTAAGTTTAGAGCATCAATTATATATGTATAGAGTAGGAACTTACTGTCAATTCTTGTGGAAAAAAAA